TTTGTGTGTTTATTTTATACTTTCTTTCTAAGATTTTTTTTGTTTATATATTCGTAATATTCATTTCATAATTAAATTATGATAATATTTACTTATTTATTGCAGTTGGTTCGCCACACCCGAATTCCTCTCTCGTACTTATTAATAATTAAGTGTTTTATTTATAAGTAAAATTTGGCTTGTTTGTACTTTTTGTAGTCCTATGTGTAGTGGACACGATTCTTAATGTAACTGATTATGAGATGCCTTCAAATGTGGCTGGATCATTCTCGTTTTATAGGTTTTATAATGATTTTGGAGGAAATATGGAAAAACAAGTTGTATATTAATTGTCATGAAATAAATGTTGTTATAAAAGTCCTTACAATTGTATCATATTCCGTTCATAACAAAAAATTATTTGAACTGGCGATATATATTTTTTGCTGCAAAAAGATGTTACAAAAACCATTAAAAAAATGTTGTGAATGTTAGAAAATATTTGCACCGCATCATTTGTAACAGTTATGCTTCGTTACAAACAAATTTTTATTTTTATTTTTTGGAACAAGAAACCATAACAAATACCGTTATAAAAAGATAATGTGACTATCATAACACATTTGCACCATATAATTTGTTATGACTATGCTTCGTTACAAAAATAAGTTTATTTTTTGTCACGTACAAAAAGTCCTCTCATGCCCATGGATCACCTAGTTTTTGTTACGTATAGCTTTTTGCTACGAAAAATGAGCATTTGTATCAGATTCAAACCCACTAAAAATAGTCATTTCTTTAGTAGTGAATTAAAGTCTGCTGGTGAATTTATGAATTTGAATTTCAGAAGTATTCTCCAGAGTTAAACGTTTGCAGTTTCATTTCCAAATCTGCGGTTCGTAGTGTTTCATGAAAGTGATAGTATGGTCAATGTTGTAGATCGTGTCAGTGTTCTAATAAAATTCTAGTATGTACATACTTTTTATTTGTTTGGGAAGAAATAAAATTCAAATTTAAGCCTCACTATTCATAATTTATTTTTCTTCTCAAAATATCAAATAAAATATTTAGTTTAAATTTTTATATTGCACAAAAAATTAAATGTTCAAAATATCATATTAATATTTATTTATATTACATTAAATAATTATTTAAATTTAATTTTTAATGCAAAAATTTTATTATTTTATATTTTACACAATTCTCAATGAAAAGTATTAATATTTTTAATAAAAATATATTATTTTTAAAAATTTAAATAATAAAAATTAATTTTTAATAATACTTTCACAATTTCTAATAACTAATAAAAAAATTTAAAATTTCTAAACCTAAAACTTAAAATTTTTAAACCTAAAAAAATACAATTGAATATTTAAAAAAATAAAATATAAATATCTTCGATTGTCATTTTAAGTATAAACCGTTAATATCGAACAATTAATTTACTATACTTTAATACAATCATATAATTGAATCAACTAACCAAATAAACTAATTGAATAAGCTAATAGCTAAAATACTAAATAAGTTAACAGTTAAAATTTATCAGCTAAATACACCTATAAAAGCCTATAACGGCTTATAAGCAACTATAATATGGTCTATGTATTATTATTATTATTATTATTATTATTATTATTATTATTATCCCCGGTTTTTTGTTATCAATGAAGTCATATATATATATATATTGACAATTACCTATGCTCATCAATATATTTTAATATTAGCAGAAAATTCGAGTTATCCATGAAGAATCTATTTAAAATTATATTATAATATATTTTATTTTTATATTATAAATTTTTAATTTAAAAAAATTTAGAATATCTTATTTCAGAATCAAATAACTTAGAAAAAACTATACATATCAATAATGAAAAAGATTTAATAAAAAAATTTAATTAGTAAAAAATTTAAGAAGCACAGTAGATAATTTTAAAAAATAAATACACAATAATAATGAAAATATTAAGATAAAAATAATTTTTTTTATATATTATTTATCAAAATTTTCTGAATTAATTCGCCAAATATTTTTCGAACTACAAAATTAGAAAGTATTAAAATATATTAGTCAGAACTAAATCAATTAAAAAATGACATACACAATAAAAATAAAAAAGAATGGATTTGTATAAAATAAGAATAACAAAATACATAGTTTAAAAAATATGTAGTTTATTAAAATATGTATTATATATTATATTAATATTTATTATTCTTTTTTATAGATATTTTCTGATTTGATCAAATCAGTATGATGTTGATTTGACTCAATCAACTCAGTACTCGGAGTGAAGTTGATGACATTGTTGTAACAATATATAAAATAAAGAATATTTTCTTTTAAGTTATGTGAAAAATATAATTACTAAAAAATAAATACTCTACTGTCCCGTAGGAAGGTTACCGTTTACTTTTTGCATGTAGATTTTTTAATATTAGTATTATATTGGGTTATCGTGAAAAAGACAAAAATACCTTTATTAGTATTGTGTAATATAAAAGTAACGATATTTGTGTAATATAGTGTAAGTTGGAAAGATATTTATTATGTTAGGTAGATAGTATAATTACTAAATTAGAAAATAATAATATTGTTTCGGACGGACAACAATAAAAAATTACAACATTTCAATGACACGGATAGGGTATATTAATTTCAAAAGGATCAAAATGGCAAAAATGAATAGATCAATTATTAAAGGAGAGAGCATGTGATTCCATATATATATATGTATATATATAAAATAAAAAGAATATAATCCCTCCGATACTACTTTTATTTTTTCCCGTTCCAAAATAATGGTACCATTTTTATTTTTATTTTTGTCCGTTTCAAAATAAGGGTACTATTTTCTAATTTAGTAATTATACTATCTACCTATTATAATAAATACCCTTACAACTTATAAAATACTATTACACAAATGTCATTACTTTTATATTACACGATACTAGTAGGGGTATTTTTTTATTTTTTTACTACAAACCAATATAGTACTAATATTAAAAAATCTACGTGCGAAAAACAAATTGTGCTCTTGTTGCGAGACATATGTAATATTAAATTATTTGCAAACTAATTATGAAATATTCTCTACATTCACTCGTAAAGTATACGTATTATTATTTTAGATTGTCAATTTACAAAACAATTATTTCAAAAGTATTATACTTTTTTTACAAATATTAATACTTTTTCACACATCATTATTTTTACATAAAATAATAATAATTATATTTACACTATTTTTAACAACTCACTTAAAATACTATTATTTTTTAAACTCTATATTAAAAATAAATGCACTATTCAAATTAGACAGAAGAAGAATCAAATATTAAATGGTAAATATTAATAATGTATGGAAAGAAGATAGAATAGGTTTATATTTACAAAAATAAAATAAAATATATTATTATTATTATTAGGGTAAATTGATTTTTAAGTCTCGTAACTGGACCTCTTTATCATTTTAGTTTTGCAATTGGAGTCTGACGCAAATTAGTCATATAAGTGAAAAACTTTTCGCACTTTATTCCTCCAGCTTTGGAGATGCCTACGTGGCATCCACGTGACTTGCTGAATGACATGTGTCCGCCAGGTCAACGACACCCGGCGGACATGTGGATTTTTATTTTATTATTATTTTTTAAAATTTTTAATTTTCAATCTTTAATTTTTAATTTTTTTTTTAAATTTTTACATAAAGGCAAAATAAATAAACTAATTTTTTTTTTTAAAAAAAAATTAATAAACTAATTTTTTTTTAAAAAAAAAAATTCATGTATCCGCTAGGTATCGCTGACTTGGCAGACACGTGTCATCCGGCGAACTACACGGGTGCCATGTATGCATCTTCAGCGCCGAAGAACTAAAAGTGCGAAAATTTTTAACTTACAAGACTAGTTTGCAACAAATTCCAATAATATGATTAAATTGATAAAAAAGTCTAGTTACCGAACTAAAAAATCAATTTACGGTTACTATTGTTATTAATTTAAAAAATAAATAAATAATTGAGTCTCAAACAAGTATAGTTGAAGCGATGATATTAGTTACCTTACATCAGTCAAATAAAATATCAAAACTTTTATACAAATCTCTTATATAATATACACTATGCAACAATTTATAGGGTCGAATCATTGATTAACTTCAATATAAATTCACCATATGCTTAATTTAATCCTAACGTTTGATTTTAATATAATCTTCATAATTAAGTAAATAATTTAAACAATTCAAAGTTATGATTAAATTCAGCAATATTGAATTAACAATTTCAGCTTGCTATACGATCTTTCAATTTATTAATTATTATTCTTGTTATTACGTTGTTTATTTATTTAATTTATTAACAGTATTTAATTGTAGTTCGTCATTCTGATTGTTTTGAAAATAAATTTTGAAAAAATTTTTGGGTAGACGATTTTTTAGTCCCGTAACTCTATATTGTCTTAAATAGTTTCATAAGTGAAATGTTTTTACATATTTAGTTCTACGGCACCGGAGATGCTTGCGTGCCACCTGCATGGCATACCGGAGAACTAAATGTGTGAAAATTTTTTATTTACGGGATTATTTTAAGACAGTCTCAATTATGAGACTAAAATGATTAAATAGTCTAATTACGAGACTAAAAATACAGTTTACCTATAACTTTTTAATATAATATTTTAAGCAAAGAAATATTTTATGTGACATATATACACATACATATATTAGTGAAAAATAAATAACATTGAAAATAAGTATAAACACAATCGAATATGTATAGATATTGGCGTACGTAGGGAGTTGTAGAAAGCTTAGTAGAGAGGGTTGTCATGACATTGTCCCAAGAATGAGAGTAGCTTAGCTTACCTTAGCTTGGGACAATGTAACATAACTTGCAAGACATGTCACTCTAACCTTATGCTTCAAGTGCCATTTTATTTATTTTCACTCACCACTTTTATAATAATCCCAATTCCAACAAAAAAAAAATACATACACTTACATGAACCAGGATGGCCTCTAAAGCCATCTTCTTGTATCTTTCGATTTTTGTCGCTATTATTGCCTCGAAAAATTTATTCACTCAGCACATACTATCATTGTTCTCTAACAACCCTAACCCTAACCCTAACCCTAACCTTATCCATTTCAACCTCCCTTTGTCGCCCATTGTTGGCCCGACAAAACTTGGACACCGCCACCATCACCACCACCATAAAGATGAAAAGGATAACACGAAAAAAACAATATGTGACGACACCTTCCCACCCGATTTCCCTCCTCAAGACACTAACATGACGGCTTGGCTATGTGTGGATCCCAACGGTTGTTGCAATTTCACAAGGATACAAGCGGCGGTGGATGCTGTCGGCGTCATGAGCTCTAAGAGGACTATCATTTGGATCAACAATGGAATGTACTTGTAAGAACCACAATTTTTAATTATTTTAATCACAACAACGATATATAATCATGTACATATATAATTGACACGACTCTTGTACTACATATTAATTAAGTGAAAAAGTTATAGTTCCGAAAACAAAGCCAAATATCACATTCCAAGGACAAGGCTACACCACGACCGCTATTGTGTGGAACGACACTGCTAACTCCTCCCACGGAACATTCTATAGTGGCTCGGTCCAAGTCTTTGCCCCCAATTTTATTGCCAAAAACATAAGTTTTATGGTATGCTATCGCTATTTTTATACTTTTTATATATATTTGACATATATATATATATTGATTTGATGGATTTGAACGTACATTAGAATGTGGCTCCAATTCCGGGGCCAGGTGCAATAGGAGCCCAAGCCGTAGCACTTAGGATATCGGGAGATGAGGCGGCCTTTTGGGGATGTGGATTTTTCGGAGCTCAAGATACTCTACACGACGATAGGGGTCGACACTACTACAAGGAATGCTATATACAAGGCTCCATCGACTTCATTTTTGGGAATGCCAAGTCTCTTTACGAGGTATTTGCCATTAAACATATATAATTTATATACACATACGTACATAAAATATTTTTCGTAAGGAATGACCTAGTGGTATGAGGAAAAAATAAAGTTAGATAAAGGTTTTTGAACTTTTGCCAGAACAATAAATATTGGTTTGATATTTTTAAAAAAAAATTATTATTAATAAATAATACTCTCTCCGTCCCATAACAAAATATCTATTTATCTTTTGCGTCATTGTACTTAACATTGAAAATATTCTTATATTTGTATAATTTTTTATACAAATGTCATTATATTAGTATTATAAGACAACAATAGAAGTATTTTTGTAATTTTCTCTTTATTTGTAATACGATTTGATATAATAATTAATATTCAAATATCAATATACAAAAAGTAAATGGATACCTTGTTATGGGACAGAGGGAGTATCAATTTTTTTTTTTTATAAAAAAAATATGTAATTAAATTGGGAATGAATTAAGTGTTTGTAGTATTTCACTTTAATTGGCAATCTAACCTATTACCTATTTAACAATTTCATGCACAATTCATGACAATGACTTATATTAATTGCATACGTAAACTTCCATTGTAGGTCAACTTACAGATGTTATACACATATAATACAACATTATATTATATAATGCTTTTCTCGTCTAAATTTAATTGCTAATTTTTGTCCAAATTTAATTTTCAATTTTCGTTTGATGGATTGTTTTAGTTGTGGTTTCAAATTAATCTAAAATATTGATTTGATTTTTTTTTTTCAATAATATTTTATGAGAAAAATAATATATTTTTATCAAAAATTGTGTTAACACTAAAAAAAAAAAATATATTTGTAAGAGAATTCCGTCTCTAAAGTTCACGTAGCTAACCTAATTCCGTTCCTAATTATAATGTCATTAGTAACGGAAAAAGTAGATTTAGAGACAAAAAAATTTTGTTACAAAAATGATTTTTTCTTAATTTTAGTTTGAAATCACAAAAGAATAAATCTCTGGTGATATTTCTATTCTCTTATCATTTTAATTGAACATTTTTATTTATAATATTTTTTAAAAGGTATATAAAATGATATATTTTTAAAAATTAAGTGTAGAAAAGAAAAATTGTAAATATTTTAATACATCTCAAATTAAAATAATAATAAAAGATTTAATACATTGTACTATTATATTATGATTACAAGAAAGTATTTTGTTTGATTAGAACTAATAATTTAAAAGTTTGAATTCGAATAAGAATTTCAATTTGTTTCATTAAATAAAAATATTTTTTGATAAAATATTTAATTTAATAATATAAAAAAAATGAATAATAAAATTTCTAACTCAAATCTACCAACCAATAAACAAAAAATATTAGTATTTTGTTTGATTAGAACTAATAATTTAAAAATTTGAATTCGAATAAGAATTTCAATTTGTTTCATTAAATAAAAATATTTTTTGATAAAATATTTAATTTAATAATATAAAAAAATGAATAATAAAATTTCTAACTCAAATCTACCAACCAATAAACAAAAAATATTATGTACATGATTATTCAAGTACATTTTGCCTTTTAATATAAATACGTACTTTCTATTTTTTATGATAAAAATATAAAAAATAGAATAATTATTTACTAAATAAGAAAATAAATTTTTTTTGAGTGATAGGCAAAATAAATCAATAAATAAATAAATTTAAGTGATAAAGGAGAATATTCTTTTCAAGATTTTTTAGTTAGTTTTTTAGTATGTTATTTTTATTATATCATCTAAAAATTATATTATATTATTTTAAAATATTCAAAAAATATTTAAATATAAAACATAAACAAACTAAACACACCATTTGATATTATTCACAGTATAATAAAAGTAGACTTGGTAACCATTTTAGAATTTTTGTTTTTATTATTTGTTTAATTAGTAGTTTGGATGTAATATTTTATTAAAAAAATATAAATTTTAATAAACATAATGAAAATTGAATAATAAAATGCATATATATACATAATTAAAAATAAAAATAAAATATATTGTAAATTTTTTAAAAATTATAATTCAATAAAATATATATCGTATTGATATTATGTTTAGAGAATATATGTATAATACAAACATATACTATATATTAATATATAATTAACATAGAGTTTGTTCAGTCAATATTTATTTAATAATACAATTCTAATTCTCCAGGAACATTACAAAAATGTATAATATATAAACCCAATATATATAATGTACATATTTTTATCCATATATAAATATTTAATATTTAATATAAAATATTATTTTTTATATTATATAATTTTTTATACGTATATATTTATTTATTTAAAAGAGAAAAAAAAAACAAGATATTACAAATTAATCTTATTTTAAATATTTTTTGGAAATAATTACGATTATAAAAAGAAAAGAAAAAACTAAAAATATAACACAAATTTGATCTATAATATGTAATCCAACTGAAAAATGTTAAGTACAATCAGCATGTTTGTTGAGTACTTTTGATTGGGGTTTATATATATATTTTTTAATATTAAGTACGAAAAAGAAATGTATTGTTAATATAAAAATAATAATTTTATATTAAATTATTAATATTTTGTAAATTGATAAAATATGTATATATATTATATGAGTGTATGTATATATTGTCTTTTAAACTATTAATAAAAATACGTATAAACAAATTTTGTTGTACGAAGAAACTTGGTTACATAAATAGGCCAACAAGTATAGGTGAAATTTTAAACTGTTTTTTTAGTCCCGTAATTGGACCCCCTTATCATTTTAGTCCCGTAAGTGAAGCCTGTCGCAAATTAGTCCCATAAGTGAAAAATTTTCGTTGTTTTAGTCCTCCGGCGCCGGAGATGTCGGCGTGGCTCGCCGGAGGTGACGTGTCTGCCAGGTGTTGCTGACCTGGCGGACACGTGGATTTTTTTTTTATGTTTTTAAATTTTTTTAAAACTTATTTTTAATTTTTTTTTATTTTTTTATTTTTTTTATTTGGTTCAATTAAAAAAAATAAAGAAAATGAAAAAAAATAATAAATCCACGTGTCCGCCAGGTGTCGCTGACCTGGCGGGACACCTGGCGGACACGTCACCTCCGGCGAACCACGCGGGCGTCTCCGGTGCCGAAGGACTAAAACAACAAAATTTTTTTACTTATGGGACTAGTTTGCGACAGGCTCCACTTACGGGACTAAAATGATAAAATGGTCCAATTACGGGACTAAAAAAACAGTTTACCCAATTTATTTATATTAAACATTCATTTTGTAATGCCTAATTTTGAATATAAGAAATCATCTCATCACATCTCATCTCATCTCACAAATGTTGGTTTAAAAACCATTGTGTGTAGAATTGCCGTATGACGTCGATAGCAAGCCCCGTGCCCCCCGGTACTAGAATTATAAATGGCGCGGTTACAGCGCAAGGCAAAGCTTCAAAAGACGAGAACAGTGGATTTGTGTTCGTCAACTGTAGCATTGGAGGGACCGGAAGGATTTGGTTGGGCCGCGCCTGGCGCCCCTTCTCCACCGTCGTATTCGCATACACGGCCATGTCCGATATCATAGCTCCCGAGGGATGGAATGACTTCAATGACCCCACGAGAGACCAGTAAGTATCATATATAGGTAAATTATTTTTTTTAGTCCCGTAACTGGACTCCTTTATCATTTTAATCCCATAAGTGGAGCATGTCGCAAACTAGTCCTATAAGTGAAAACTTTTCGCTGTTTTAGTCTTCCGGCGCCGGAGACGCCCGCGTGGCTCGCCGGAGGTGACGTGTCCGCCAGGTCAACGACACATGGCGGACACGTGGATTTTTTTATTTATTTTTAAATTTTTTAAAAAACTTATTTCTAATTTTATTTGCATTTTTTTTTATTTAGTCCAATTTAAAAAAAAATTTAAAAATAAAAAAAAATGAAAAAAAAAAATCCATGTGTCCGCCAGATGTCCCTGACTTGGCTAAACACCTGGTGACTCCGGCGAGCCACGGGGACATCTCCAGCGCCGAAGGACTAAAACAACGAAAATTTTTCATTTATGGGATTAATTTGTGATAGACTCCACTTACGAGACTAATATGACAAGGGGGTCTACGAGACTAAAAAAACAGTTTACCCTCTATATATATCATTTAATAATAATAATAATAATAATAATAATAATAATAATAATAATAATTTTAATTCAGGACAATATTTTATGGAGAGTATAACTGTACCGGAGAAGGGGCGAATTCAACATTAAGAGCGCCTTATGCACAAAGACTCAACGATACGCAGGCTTCCTTGTTTCTCAATGTTTCTTTCATTGATGCCCAACAATGGTTGCCTTCGTATAATTAATTACTCTATATTGTAATTCTCTTTGTTATTATTATTATTATTATTATTATTATTATTTTCGTATTAAATAATTATTGTTTATACAAAACATTAAAACTAACAATTATTTTGATTCACTAAAAAATATCAAAACTTAAATATATATAAATAATTTAATTTGTATTGTTTATATGCTCGTTAGTTATTTAATTATTAATTGTTATTCCTACAATATTTTATTCACTTGCGAATAAACATAATACTGGACAGAGCTAGTCGCAGCAACAACCAATCTAGCCTTATTCTTCTGAATAATTTTTATCCACAAACTTAACTCCTTATTTATACTAACTGTAAGGACCAACTCGCAATTAACTCTTATTATTAGGACTAAAAAAGAAAGCTAAATACTTATAAAGTAAAGATTTAAGACAAATCCACAATTAACCCATAATGAGTTGCCCCGTCGGATATACACCCGAAGCGGGATTGGTTTGTCTCTAACAGCAGCATAGTGCTTATAGAGATTATATATATAGTTAGCAAAATATATATGTTAATATAATATAAAATAATACATTAAAGTAGGTCACACAACACGTACAATTTATGTCAACACCTATATAAACTAAGATAGACATCATATGCATCCCGTAAGGGATGACCTAGTGGTGTAGGGGTTGGATTTGTGACCATAAGATCATGGATTTAAACCCCCGACAACACAAAATTTTTTATCATTTTAGTCCAGTAAGTGGAGGACTAAAACAACGAAAATTTTTCACTACTAGTTTGCGACAAACTTCACTTATGGGATTAAAATGATAAGGGGGTTTAGTTACGGGACTAAAAAAGAAATTTACCCTATATTTTTTTTTTTATAAAATATTATATCAAAATATTAATCAAACTAAAATTCAAATAAAGAATAGAAAATCAAACCAAAACCAAAGAAACCATTTTGTGCGTTCTTTCCAAAGCATCTCAATCCATTATATACTCCGTAGTCCGCTTATAAAGGTCATATTTATCTTTTGCGGCATTATATTTAATATTAAAAATATTTTTATATTTGTATATATATTTTTTTGTACAAATGTTCTTCTATTAGTATTATAAGATACTAATGGAAGTATTTTTGCGTTTTTTTAAAAAAAATTGTATTACGTTTTGATATAATAATTAATAATCAAAGATCAACACGCAATGAGACCTTAGAGCCAGACGAATATAGTATATTTTTTTTAAAACTTTCTAGTTGATATATTAATAAATTATAAATTTAAGAAATAAAGTAATTTATGTCTACTATATATATATATTATGTGGTTGATAATATTTTTTCTTATACAGTGCTCCCTCCATTCCAAACACCCTTCAACATTTTCTTTTTGATATGTCCCAAACACCCTGCAATATTTCTAAAATAGAAAATAATTAATTATACTTAATCTCTACCCCACACTTTATCTTCTCACATCATCCAAATACAAAAAATAAAATATATATTTATCTTTTCATCACATCACCTAATTTCTAAATTATCCTACTTAATACTACACGCCTAAAAACACGTGTAAAAAATGAATATTGCACCTTGTTTGGGACGAAGGAGTACTATTTAGTATATATATTTTTGTTAATAACATATATTATATAATCACACAATTTTATGAAAGTAATAAATATAAATTTATGGTCGATAATATTACTTAAAAAATATATACTTATTATATAGTATGTAGTGAATATTTTTTTTGTTAACAATATAATATTTCATCTGTCTCGGCTATCGTATCCGAATTACTGTAAATACAAGAATTTAGTAGAAATATAATTAGTAAATAATTAATAATGTATATTAGTAAGAATAATTATTTTATAATATAAATAATTATAAATTAAAATTAAGATAACTAAGACAAAACTGCACAAAATGCACTTGTAATTTCACGAAATTGTATCAAATTTTTTATACTTTCAAAATTGCGTCAAGCTCCATCATGTTTCATAAGGACGATCAAGGGGTTAAATGCAGAGTTTATGAAACCATCATAAAGTTTGACACAGTTTTGAAGGTATAGAAGATTTGACGCAATTTTTTGAAATCACATGTGGAGTTTTCGGCGATAACTAATTAGTCTAATTAAAATTAATAAAATTATAAATTTTAAAAGAGATTAATGTGTGTAATCTTTAAAAAAATAATAATAATAACAAAATGACATAAAATGTGAGACGGACATAAACAATAACGTGAACATGGTGAATTGGACATAGGGATTATATAATAATAGAATTTTATGAAAATAATAAATATGCAGTGTATAGTTGATTATATCATTTCTGTACATACTATTTAATAACTAGTTTTTTTTAATAATAATATTATGGTAAATCATAACCATAATGTCTTATAATTATAAATATACTTATATATAGAAAAATAAATAATCGCATGCCCTAAATTATGGTAAGAATATTATCATAACTCATAAAAACAAGTTTATTCATATTTTACAAAAATGTTGTTAAAGTGGTATTTTTTGTTTTCTACATGGATAATCAATCACTACTATTTCCGATATTATCCGTTGAACATGAAAATACACGTAATAATTTCGACCAGAATCAATTACAGATGCAAAAATTATTGATAATTGGGCGTGGATCACTTTAAATAATTTTAAGTAAATTTTTAAATTAATCAATAATCACATGCAATATTCAGTATTTACTATTATTAGATATTAAGTTTTAGAAATCTCTATAAATTAATCATTGACTAGAGACTGTAAAGTGATTTCATTAATTAGGAGTCTAGAAAATACTCAGTTTCCCATATAATTTGAATCTATTACGATAGATACGAAAATTTAAGTAAAGTATAACTAGTAAACAGTTAAGAAGTATATCAGTAAAAATTATTATAAATTAATATTAAGATAATTAAATAGTTTAATTAAGATTAAGAAAATTATAAAATTTAAAATTAGATTAAAGTGTATAATCATGTTTAAAAAAAAAGGAAAAAACAAATTATACAGGACACACAAGGATAAAAATTATGGACAAATTATTTAGGATGGAGAGAGTAATTTGTAGAAGAGAGTTGCACAACAAAAATAACTGAAATTGTGTCTGGGAATAAAATATTCTGAACTTTTTTTTCCCACTTTTTTATTTTACAAGTATTGCAATTCCCTATAAAAAAATACATTATTCATTTTTACAAAATATCACATTAAAAAAAAAAAAAAAACAAAACTCAAAGAGCACAACCAATTCATGTAAATTAGTTTTTTACAAGAATTTTTTACAAGAATTTTCAATGATATATATATATATATATGTTTCCTACACAGAAAGAATTAATTTTTTCTTTTAAAAAAAATATTATAATGATGAATAAATCACAACGAACACAATTTCATACTGCATGTACTATATCTCATCAAAGCATAACTATTTGATATAATATCTACACAAAGTTTGGAGTAAATTGCAAAAAATATCCCAGTTATACTCTATTATCACTTTTGTCATGTATTTATCTCACTGACAAAATATATCCCACATGTTTATAAAAGTCGTTATTTATGTCATTTTCTCCCGCGTGAAATTCACACCACGCGCCCTTACGCGCAATCACGCGCGGCCACGTGCGGTCAAATGAGAGAAATAACGACTTTTGAAAATATGTGGGATATATTTTGCCAGAGAGATAAATACAAGACAAAAGTGATAATGAAATATACGTGTGAGATATTTTTTGCAATTTTCCCCAATGTTTGCAATCGTAAAGTTTTATTTATGTATACAAGTACTTTTATAATATGCATGATAGTTTTTCTGTGTATAAAGTAACACAACTTATTCTAGAGTAGTTGGATTATTTATACATTAGTTGTTTGACCCATAGTCCTGCATCAAAAGGTATCTTATTATTATTATTATTATTATTATTATTATCATTATTATTATTGTTGTTGTTGTTCTTATCGAAAAATAGAATTCAAAATTTAAAATAATTTATCGAAATTAATTTTAAATTTATGACATATTGAAATGAATTTAAAATTTTATTGAGTCGAGTCGAGGTAGAACCTTTCTTCGTAAAAATAAATATGTTTGGTAGTACCTCCGATTCGTGTTGTAACGTTCATAAAGATAAAATAATGTTCATCCCTGAATTAGGTGACACCCAACATTTCGGAGCTCGACAAAGCATATTTGTACTTTAGATAAAGCATGCAGAAATAGTTTCACACTCATTGAAAAGGTGATTTGGTTTCGAAATATTCTAACATAACACCCCGAGAACTAACCAACCAGTAATTTTTAGAGCCATATATTGACATGAATCTAGGTTTGTATATCTATTCAAATATAATATATATTTGCGTATTTTTTAAAAAAAAATTATGTCAAATTTTGGTGTTAAAAACTAGAGTCGGCAAAAACTAATATGATACGACAATCCGATATGAGATAATTGTGTTTGGATTAAGAATTTTGACCGAATTATGTATATGAATCAACACAAATATGACACGTATTATTTTAAATTAAATTTAATTTTAAATAATCTAACCTAATTCACTACATACATTACACTAGAATCGAAAATAATTAATATGACACAACAATTCCATACGAAATAATTAAGTTTGGGTTAAGGATTTCGACCAAATATGTATACGGATCAACACAAATCCGATACAATAATATACGGGTCAGGTTAGAATTGAGTGATTTCACCCATTTAAAATATTCAATCCGATATGAATTTATCAATTGTCAAATTTATTAAAAATTGATACTCATATTAACCTTAGAGGTATCATATCAGCACAAGCATTAATATTTCAATAAAAAAAGTATTTTTAGCGACTATAGATGAAATATAGATGAAATATATGACTATTTCTATGTATACTTTATTTAGTGGACTAAAATAATACTTCTTATTTTTCACATAATTTTTTTTTTTCTTCAGTTCTTCTACATAATTTATTTTTATATTTTTGAAAATATGATCATACAT